AATTCAATTTAATAGGAACAAAACATTCCGATGCCAGATCAACCTCATCTTTCATTCAATGGAACACGCCTTTATTCTAGCATCTGAGGCACTGAAAGCTGGTGAAGTGCCAATTGGATGCGTATTTGTCTACAAAGGCACAGTGATTGCCGAAGGGAGAAATGAGGTACGTTTTTCTCTCTTTGTTATGTGAACTTTAATGCAGGTTAATTCCTTCAAGAATGCTTCGAACCATGCAGAAATTGTTGCTATTCGAAAATTGGAGCGCTGGTGTTTGACTAATAATCTTAAATTGGATCAAATCTTGAGCGAATGCGATGTTTACGTGACTGTGGAACCATGTATAATGTGTGCAGCTGCTCTTCGTTTCGTGTTACCGAGGCAACCCAGAAGGTTTGTGTTTTTATCTCTTATATGTAAGTTATCTAGTATCGTATTTGGTGCCAAAAACGAGCGATTTGGCGGGTGCGGCTCTGTTGCGGACATTGACCGATGCCCTGCAGGACCAAACTCAGCTCTGTCCTGTACAGCTGGAGTGGAAGAAGCTCGCGCCGTTAGTATGCTCAAACAGTTTTATACCCAAGAAAATCCCAACGCCCCAGCGGAAGTCCGAAACATTAAACGCCCGGTGCTTGAAAAAGTTCAATACATTTAACTATTCTGAAAGCATCTTGTTTTTCACCCGGTATTTATTGTTTACAATGGAATTTTGTTTCGTTCCCGTGGCCATTACAATCAAACTCCTATAGCCTAAGGTGTATTGAAATGAATAAACTCCATCGCGGCGCGATACGTTATCGTACTCTGTTATCTGGCAGTTCGCACGTGCGATTTCTGAACGGCATGATAATGATCTTAATTCAGTAAGCCTCTATACATATGGCGATTTTGCATATGCATGTAATATGTCGTTTGTGTGCCGATCCGTTGTAACTCAGATGCGATTAGAAGTAGAGAGCCCAGTCGTTGTTTTCTCAGATACTATCATCTCTTCAATAGCCCTCAGAATGAAGGAATCCTTTAACATCACGCAAAGTACATAA